GACAAAGAGTAATGGAAAGCGATGAATAATAGAGACAGACAAAGCCATAGTGTGGAATCCTCAGAGAAAACACAGACTCCGAGAATTGAAATAGTGGCAGATCCCAGATTTCAGCACCCAGTGCACCTTCTCTGGCACACACATGTGTCTATTCCGTGTAAGGATCTAGACTGTTTTCCTAGAATTTACTTCCTTTATGAGCTGAGCACCTATAAAAGCTGAGTCTCTCGTAGGCATCCCTTTTGATACTATGGCAGAGACTGTCCCTAGCCATTTTATTTTGTTTTGTTTTTAATTACAAATTTAGACATGTGGACAATTGTTACCTAGTACAACTGGTTAATTTGGTTGGAAATTTTCATTCTTGAGGAGCTTCTGTCTACATACAGAAGCTTATGGAAAGTCCTTGTTTTTGCACAGTTCTGGTCTGCTCAGAGTGAGTTTCATTCATCTCTATGAAGTGCTAACTGCCTGGGCAGAAGAAGGGCCAGAGCTCTGATTCATTCCAGCATTGGTCCATACTCTGGCCATGTTATCCCGCTTCTGCATTCAACTTGGTTCACAATACTTTCTTCACAGGAAAGTTGCAGTTATTTCATAAGATGTATGAATGTGAGCATCCGTTTCCAAAACTGAAAATATAATCACATTTGGAAAACTTGATCTTGTATGTTTATTGTGCTTACATAACCATGCAGTGAACATTGTTATTATAACAGATTATATTTTTGAAAGATGGCCATAATAATTTTTTGCCCCACATAACTTGCTATCCCATTTGAGAGTTAGGATCTCTTTCTCCTGTAGGATCTTAATATGCCGGTGACTTGCTTTTGATCTGTTGAATACAGAGCTCAGCAGGAGTGTTACACTGTGTGACTTTCTTGTCCCAGTCATAAAAGTTACTGTTGCTTGTTTGTTGGAACACTGCTCTGTCTGCGTGCCCAAGGCTGTCAGGGTAGTGGGCAGTGAATAAGGCCTTGTGAAGAAGTGTTAGTGTTGGGGGTTAGGCAGGTAGTCCTAGTGCTCAAGCCCTTTCTGGCTAGATCCAGACCTGTAAGCACATGAACCTTTGCATGGCTGAGATGGTGTTTCAGATCCAGCCATTGGGGCGCTTCAGAGTCACCCCGAGTCATCTCTAAGACTCAACACAGAAAGTCGGAGCTTTGTAAGGAAAATAAGCAATCTGCAGTGTGTGCGTGCACATTCCTATCTCAAAGAGTCTGTGTGGGTAACATGATGGCTCTTGTTCATACCAGTAAGTTTGTTGTGTTTGTTGAATGGTGATAATTGGAGCATGTCCTCAGTAAGAAACAGATTGATACTAAAATTCATCATAGAAGTAAACAAATGTTTCCTGTGTTTTTCTGTAGTTTCACATGTGAATAACTTGGTAGGGAATTTTGCCGGGAAGTCCTGGTAACTGTATGACAGAGTATTATTTTATTCAGTAGTAATTGCCATCTTCCAAAATAATGATAGGTAGGTAGCTAGGGTGTAACTAGAGGTTTCTCTTCTGCGCCCCAGTTTCCGAGTACCCACTATGAGGCTTAATATTATTTGCAAACTGTTTGGCCTATTAGCTCAGACTTATTATTAACTAGTTCTTACAACTTAAATTAATCCATTTCTGTTCATCTATATAGTGTCATATGGCCATGGCGTTACCTCACATCTTGCTTCTCTAGCGGCTTGCTGGCGTCTCTCTGATGCCACCTTCTTTTTTCCTGTATCTTTTCTTGGATTTCCAGCCTGGCTTTATTCTTCCTGGCTATTGGCCAAATCAGCTTCTTTGTTAACCAATGGTAATAAAACATATTCACAGCATACAGAAAGGCATCCCATGTCACAAGCGGTTAACAATAGTCATTTTTAGCATTCGGTTGCTTCAGAAGAAGGTGTGTATGTGTGCTGTGTACATGGGCACAGAGTGCTTCTGGAAGGATACATGAGGAGTACTAACACAAGCTGCTTCTCGGAGTAAACTGGGATATGTAAAGGAATGCTCATTGAAGTAAAAATAAAAAAATGATTTCTGTATTATGAAAATGGGGAGAGCTATGTTGTGTTCATCTTTGTGTCTTTAGCATTGAGTGTGATGTTTAGTGACTGGGCCTCTACTTCATAGTGGAAGAAATAGAAAGTTGATGTTATCTTAATTTTTGATCGCCTTATGCATAACATGTTTAGTTTTTCCTCACATAGCTCCTCAGTTCTCAAGAAGCTATTTATAGATCTGTATTTGTCCATGTTCAATCAGAAGATGAACCACAGAAAGATAGATAGATAGATAGATAGATAGATAGATAGATAGATAGATAGATAGATAGATACTGTTGTGGGATTTCAATACTTTTAGCCAATGACTTTGGGGGTTTACGAATCCTAGGGTGTGGTCTTGTCTGCAGAAGTGACAACTTGTAAGTTTAGGGAGAGGATCTCGCCTTCTCTTGCTCCTGCGCTCTCTTGGTTGGTTGGAGTGGAGCAGGCGACTTGCTCTTCACCCCAGGACAGAACAACTGGACAGAGGCAGCTGGATCAGCAGCAGCGTCTAAACCATTCTGTATCAGTGAGTGTTTACCCCTATTTTATACCTAAATAAATTCTTGAGAACCCTTAACAGACTCTCAACAGACTCTCAAGGCATCTCACTACAAGATATTGTAGCAGGAAACATGAAATCTAAGTTTGAAGACATAGCTTATTGTTCAGAGCATTTTTAAAATATTTTACTTCATGTTTGCATGTATGTTTGTGTGCCTGGTGCCAGGTCAAGGGTGTCAGATCTCCTGGAACTGGAGCTATAGGTGGTTGTTAGCCACCATGTGGATGCTGGGAGTTGAACCAGAGTCCACTGGAAGAGCAGCCAGTGCTCTAACCACTAAGCTATTTCTCTAGCCCCTGCCCAGAGCCTATTAGTGCTTGCTCTTTAAGCCCCTGTCTCAGTTGGTGGTGTGATTAAGAGCCTGGCACTATTTACACATGGAAGAGTGCACTGTGGAAGAACCCTAAACCTAAGACGCCAAAGGCTTATGTACGTGCCTGCCAATAAATATACACACGTATCTTTATCCATTCCATAAATCTTCCCTTGCAAAGAAGGAAGCGTCTCTGTGTATCGCCTTAAAGACGAGTTAGAAACAGAGCTCCACAAAGAAGAGGCTAGTATGCAGTCGTAGGGCATCTCCAGAGAGGGAACCTGACTTTACTGTACCCTACCTTTTTTCCCTCCAGTAATTACCATGGTACAGAAATGCCAAGAATAGAGGAAATTATCCAAACAGTAAATTTTTTAGGTTTTGTGTGTGTGTGTGTGTAGTGCATACTTGTGTATATGCTTATGGAGGTCAGTGAACAACTTCTGGTAGTACCCTGAAAACCGTTGTCCACCTCCATTGAGACAGGGTTTCCCGTTGGTCTGGAGTTCATCGATTAGGTCAGACTGGCTAGCCAGAGATGCTGAGATCCTGCTGGCTGTAGAGCTACAAACTGCCGAACATTTTCACGTCGATTCTGAGGACTGAACTCGCCCTCTCACGTTATGAGGTAAAGAACTGTGCCAGCTGAGCTACTTTCTTAAATAGAATATTAACAATAAATTATTGAGCAGTGGTAGACTAGGGAACTCTAAAGCCAAGAAAGCCAAGAAAAGGTATCCAAGGAAGGAGAAAGCAGATTTTTTTTTTTTTTTGAAATACCTAAGTTTCATTGTTCTGACCTTTCTCCCTGGTCGTGAGGTCAGATCCAGAGCCCCGCATATACTAAACTTGTATATGCTAGCAGGAAGCTACAGTCCCTGGTGGCAGCCTTCTGAGTAGCAGTTCACTTGAGTTTACAGGCCAAGGCTGATCTGTGGTCGCCTGGCCTGAAAGCACAACTCTGAAGGAAAGGAGGCCGGCAGTGCTGGGCTGAGTGCACAGAGAGTTGCAGCAGAAGGTGAGGAACTGGGAGGCAGTGCCAGAACCTGGAGCTAGAGAAGCATTCTGCAGGAAGCCAAAGTTCTTCTGTCTGTGAGACAGGGTCTCCAGCACCTGTATGTAAGGGAGTGCAGAGGCAGTGCCGAGAACCCTGGCCTGACCTGAGGGTTAGGTGGACTGTCGGGACTCTACTGTGCGGAACTGCATGAGTTCCGGGAGAAGCAGGGGATGCCTGGGAAAGCCATCACTTCCAGGCATTTGACACTGGGAAAAAATTTCTCCAACCTCTAACTTCTCCCTCCCTCCCTCCCTCCCTCCCTCCCTCCCTCCCTCCCTCCTTCGTTCCTCCCTTCCTTCCTCTGACAGAGAGTCTCATTGAACTCTTGAGTCCCTGATTGAGCTGACCTGACTGGCCAGAGAGCTCCAGGGATCTGCTCCTACATCTGCCCCCATCCCCAACACTTACAGAAGCACCCTTAGGTTCCCGTGATCCTATCTATGGCTTGAGCCCTCTCCTCAGTCCTATCTCTCTCTAGCTTGGTGTTTGTAGGTCAGGCTGAAGGTGAACTTGCATATGAAGAACAAATAGGTTAAGTTGATATCTGATGTAATCATTTGTTCAGAATTTATTCGTTTGTTTTAAGCATGTGATGTATTCGTGTTTTTAACCAGTCATACGTTCTGTTTTCTTTGTCTGAATCTGTTGTATGGTTTTCCTCTGCTGTCAGACAGACATATCCTAGAATCTGGGGCAGAACTTAGAGGTAGGATATCGCTTACACTTGAACCTTAAGTACCAGGAATCAACAATGCATCATAAGCAGGCACTTGAGCTGATGCTGAAGAGTTGATGCTCGCAGCCTCAGTATTAAGTCTAAACCTGTGTACTAACTTCAGGAGCCAAGTGGAGTGTGAGAGTTAAGAAAAAAAATAAGATGGAACCTTAGATGGGAAACACAGGCTAATAAACTGCTGAGACATTGTTCTGGGAGAATCCTAGAGAGTGCTGGTATCGTGAGGTCTTAGGTGGTCACTCAGGTATCGTAGGCGGAAGAAACTGTAGCAGGGCAGATAGGTTTCAGGTGGATATTTTATTTTTGTGTTTATACAACTCAGAAGTGAGGTTTGCAAGTACAAGTACATTCCTACCATTTCGTGTCTTCCAGAACTTTTCCTCTGTGTAGAGGTTATTTCAGTAATTCACAGCAATCTGGTAATGGCAGGTTTTTACCAGCATTGTTCCAGTATGGTTCTTGGCTTTCTTTTAAAGAGTTTAACATGCTATCAACCTTTATTAACTTATCTACATTGATTTTTTTCTCTATTGTCTTCTATAACATCCTGGTTATTGACCACTATTTGACATGGAACTCTAGTAATTCTTTTCATTTAGGTGCCTGTGGAGAAAACATCACCCCAAATATTTTACTTGTTCAGTTCTTAAAGAATTAAGCTTAAATCTTACTGAGACTTGCTCTGTGACTAAATACAAAGATAATGTATTAATTTGTCATTTCTTTCATGTTGTATGCTAAAACCATATTTGACAGTGTAGAACAGGAGACAGTTGTTGAACTCGTGGTGGATGTGAAATAGAACTGAGCTGTGCCCTGCTCTTAAGCACTAAGGTTTAGTATTGAAATCATGAAGACTGGCTGGCTTTCAGCTTAAACATGACTCTAGTAAGACAGCAGGATTTTTCTTCACTACTTCAGAATGGATGAGGCCTGGGCTGTAGCTCAGTGTTGGAACGTGTACTTAGGGTAGATTGAACTCAAAGCCTTCAGCCACAACCTGAAAGAACGTAGCAGAGAGGGGAAGGGGTCATTGCTCAGAATGTTTTTTATAAGAAAGAAGATTGCTCAAAAAGTTTTGTACCGGCTTTCTGAAATAGCAAGAGAAGCAACCCCGCAGTGATTGGAGTCATTACTTTTGTCATAATAAAAATATTTCTTAGTCAAGGCAATTTACGTCATAATTTGTAACAATATGTAAGTACAGGAAATGGAAAAATTAATGTTAAGTTGTCAGGCTCTATTACATTTTCACTCGGGAGAGTAATGTGAAAATGTTTGAATTTCCCGTCCAATAAAGAATCCACCAATAGAGCTTTATGTACACAAAAGTATAAAACTAAGGAAATGAAAAAAAACCCCACAAAATTGGAATTGTATGGATTTTTTGCAAAAATAATTTTCTGAATCCGTTTACTAACTTAGGAAGTTTCCTAAGTTTCTAATTCAGTCCTGTTTTAGAAGTTGACTAAATTCACGAGGTCTTGTTGTGTATGAAGTCAGCTTTGAGTGCAGTGGAAGAGGCAGGTGATGGGTGAGGTGTATTTGCAGCTCGTCTGTGGGATGAGGAGCTCCTCCCTGTGGGTAAAGAACAGTCTCAGTAGTCGCCTTTCTCCTTGCTGTCTTCAGATAACTGGCAGAGAGCAGCTTAAGGCATGAAGGATGACTTTCCAGCCCATCATTGCAGGACAGTCAGGGTGGCGGGGACAGGAGGCAGCTGGTCACGTTGTACCTGAAGTTTAGAAGGCAGAGTGGAATGAAGGCAAATGTTCAGCTCACCCCATCCTCCCCCACCACTGCCACTGCCCTACCCACCCCTGCCATGACCCCCACCCCCTCTACCCAATCCCCCACCAGCACTCACCCCCACCCCATCCAATTCCCACTCCTGCCACCTTCTTGTATTATTTTTTGAGACAGAGTCTCTCTCTCCATAGCCCTGGCTGGCCCGGAACTCGAACTCACAGCCTTATGTTTGACTGACTGGCCTTTCTTTCATTTGGTCCTAGACCCCAGCCCATGGGACAGTGCTGCTCACGTTCATGATAGTCTTCTCTCTAAAGTTAGACATTTCTGGAAATGTACTCTAGGCACACCCTTGTGTTCAAATGATTTAAACTCCTGTCAGGTTGACGATCAAGATTAATCTTGATCAAGTGGATAAGTGTTGAGTAGATGCAGGGTTTCGGTGTTACTGCCACTGGTAGGCCATATTGGGAACAAGCTCGTGCATGTGAATAGGTATACTATATGCTAGGGCTATACATGCACCAATAAAAGTGTACAGTTTATGAAGTTTAGAGTTTACATCAAATAAAATAGCTTATTTTTTCTTCACACATAGCATTCCTACTTCTTAAATGCTATTTGAATGTCCTCCAAGTAATGCAATATGCACTTTGCATAGTAATTTTTATCCAGATTCATCTTTTCTACATCATGTATTTGTGCTTATGAGGCATATTTAATATTTATCTATATTCCTGTTAGACCATGCTTCTGTGGGACAGTGTCATAAGAACTAGTTGAAAGAAAATGGCTCCCTATATATTACCTTCCTTAATATTCAAGGTTTTTCTTCGACTCAGTAATAATTCTGAAAGTAGTAATAAATTAATACCTTTTAGCTATTGTTTCTGAGTTCTTAGTTGTATGTGTGGGTGTGTGTGTGTGGTGTGTTTAAACTAGCTGACATTTTGACAAATATCTGTAGTAGCTATAGCAATTAGAAATGATTTTTCTACTAACTTTTTTGGCTTGCTAGGAAGTAAGCTCTTGCTTTGTTCACTTACCTCTCCCATCCTGAGACTCGTGAAAGGTGGCAGTGGTGTTAGGAACATGTGCTGGCTGGTTTTCCGTCCACTTGACACAAGCTAGAGTCATCAGAGAGGAGGGAGCCTCAATTGAGACAATGACCCCAAGAGATCAGGCTATAGGCAAGCCTGGGGCAGTTTTTTAGTTAGTGATTAAAGGGGAGGTCCCATCCTGTTAGGACTGGTGCCATCTCTGGGCCGGTGGTCCTGGGTTCTATAAGAAAGCAGGCTGAGCAAGCCATTTGGGAGCAAGTCAGTAAGCCGCCCTCCTCAGCGGCCTCTGCGTCAGCTCCCGCCCCCCAGGTTTCTGCCCTGCTTGAGTTCCTGCTCTGACTTCCTTGATGATGAACAGAGATGCAAAAGTGAAAGCGTTAGGAAAGTTGGGAATCACTGATTCAGAGGCAGCTGAAGCTATGCTACATTTCAGCATTTTAAATAAATTCAGGTCAATACTTAAAGAAATGTTACTGTGAATCCATTTCTAAGACAGTGTTAAAATGTCTCACATCTTGATTTAAGTAATTATTATGTGAACACATTTATCAAAACTCACCTAATAGTAATTTAAAATCTGTACATTCGAGTACATGTGAATTATCTCTCAATTTTAAAAGCATATATTGGAAAATAAAAATGATTAGGCTGACGACTTTTTTCCTATTGGCCTCAGGCTTCCTAATGGAGCATCATCTATCACAGTGACACCTCCGGCCCTCTCTGCCTCACTGGGCAGCCACCTCCGTCCCCTTCATTCCCTGCACAGGAATAACTGATGAGATTAATATACTGAAAGGAGCCAGGGACGGCGGGTACTGTGCAGTTGTAGGCCCAGCTAACTGGAGGCTAAGACCAGAGGGTCATGTGAGCCCAGGCATTCAAGACTCGGTAATACAGGCAGAGTCCAGTCCAGTAACTAGTTAGCTAGCTAGAGTGGATGTGGACACTTCTGCCTCCTTTGTGTCTTTCTTGTTTGTTTGTTTTGTTTTTCAAGACAGGGTTTCTTTGTTTAACAGCCCTGGCTGTCCAAGAACTCTGTAGACGACCAGGCTGGCCTAGAACTCACAGAGATCCGCCTGCCTCTGTCCTGGATTGCTGGGACTAAAGATGTGTGCTGCTACCACCTGGCTTATCCCTTTTGTGGCCTTAATCTTTTAGAAAAAGGTAACAATTTTATTTCTCCAAACCTTTGGTTGCCCACCTTTGACAAATACAGAAAATAATAAAATTCAGCAGTGCGGTTCCTGACAGGTCCATGTGACAGAAGGAGTCAGTAAATCTTGTCAGTTTAAAATTCTGTGTAAACCAATGGCATATGTCTCTAGAGGTTCTAAGTCTCAGTAGGAAACAGAGGGCAGTAATTTTAGACTCTTTCATGTACACTATGATAAGAAATCTCGGGTAGGAATCTTTACCATGCAGATTATTGTTCTTAGAAAGTCCATTTAAACCCTGTTTTGTATTTACTGGTAATTCAACACAGTGAAAATGTCTCAATCTCCCATTGCTGATGGGTATCGTAATAAGAAAGAAATGGACAAGCCCCTCAGTAAACAAACATTTTTTTACACTTTTTGTTTTTGCAGTGGTAAGACTCAAACCAAAGGCCTTATATATACTATGGAAATATTCTAACAGAGTTATGCTTTAGCCTGAAAATGTATTAACAGCAAAAGTATTTCCCCCAAAAATATCTCTTTCATAGAAGACAACGTGTGACTTATTTTATATTGGACCAAGAGAGCACATTACCTGGTAGTCAACATAAATAACCCTAAGCAGAATTTCACTGTTTCGGAATGCCTGTTCTCATGGTGCAGACATTCACGGAGATGCACAGACTTCAGGACTGGGCCCCTTTTGAGTAGCTTCCTTTAAAAAGTTATGTGATATTTAAAAAAAAAAAATCACAGGGTCTGAGTACGAAACACTGTGGTTAGGCTGACCTCAAACTCCTGAGTACTGAGATTAAAAGAGTGAGCCATCAGGCATGGCCCCGTGATGCTTTTATTTGTGATTTTACTTGAAATCTCATTAAAAAAAAATTAAAAAGGTGGGGCGGTGTTGGTGCGCACCTTTAATCCCAGCACTCAGGAGGCAGAGGCAGGCGGATCTCTGTGAGTTAAAGACCAGTCTGGTCTACAAGAGCTAGTTCCAGGACAGGCTCCAAAAGCTGTAGAGAAACCCTGTCTGGGGAGGGGAGGGAGAAGGGGGAAAGAAAATGAGAGCTGTCTGGCTGGGGGTATTTATAAAGAATGCCTTGAAGGGCTAAGGAAGAGAAGGTTTGGGTGGAATGGGCAGGGATAGCCTCTGAGGTGATGATGACATGTACAATGGAACTTAAGAGTGCTGTCGGCGTGGCACTGAGGATGAGGGAAGCCATCAGAGGGACACAGACGTCAGTGATAGGTGTCTGTGGACCGAGGTGGTGAGAGACCTTTACAAAGCATGTTGGGAGAATAAATTTAGAAAGAAGGTTATATAGTTAGTTTTGGACTACTTAATTTGTTCTGACTGTAAAATACATAGGAGACTGGATTTGAAGGCGTGGATATTAGTATTTGTAGAGATTATCAGTTAAATCAGCCAATTAGTGTTTATTGAGTGATTCTTACAGTGTATTGCATTGCTTTGTGTTGTAATTTTGAGCTGTTTCTTTAAAACTGTTTTTACTGGGTGGGCACGGTGGTATATATCTTCAATGCTAACACTTGGGAGACAGAGGCAAGGGGGTCCTTGATCTCAAGGCCAGCCTGGTCTACTAGCATGGTCAAGGCTAGCTAGGGCTGCATAGTGAGACTCCAACAAAAGGAAAATAGTTCTGTTTTTACTCAGTTTAGAAATGTTATATTTAGACTTATGTGTAAATTATTCTCTAGTGCAATCTAGTATCACAGTTTAAATACATGCTAAGTATTGGGGTAGGACATACAGGTTGAACGAGAATGTGGGCACTGAGTAGAACAGCTGTTGTCAGTCCCCTTTGGTGACCCCATCACAGGTATCCAGCCAATCAGATATTTATATTAAAATTCATAACAGTAGCAAAGTTACAGTTATGAAGTAACAGTGAAAGAATTTTATGGTTGGGAGTTAATGTGGGGAGCTGTATTCAGGGGTACCAACTTCACACGGTTGAGAACTATTGAACTAGAACATGCTTTTTTCTTTCAAAACATCTTGATACATATTTTTTAAATTTAATTTTTTCCAAAGAGTGAATATTATATCTCCTTAAAATAAGGATACCACATTTCTAGTAATACCATAAACTTGCCATGTACAAAACTTGTTTAAAATGTATGCTCTTTGGATGGAGATTTAACTGAGTGATAGAAGACTTGTGTAGGTTTTGGGCTGGGTCACTAGTGCGTGCATGTGCACGCGCGCGCGCACACACACACCAAAGGGGGGTTATCTGGAAGTAAGATCTTATTATTGGTCCATTATTTTCAGTTTTTACTGTGTTAGTTTTCTTTACTGAAAATGGTATGGTTAGTATTTGAGTTAAAAAGACGGCTGATATTTCTGTGTACACCAATCAGATGGTATTAGTATTAAATCTTTACTATCGTGTTTTATAAGCCTTAAGAAGCTTTAAGAATGTTCATGATAGAGTAGACTTTTATTATTTTATGTGTATGATGTTTTGTGTACATGTATGCCCGTGTACTGCATTCCTGGAGCCCTTGGAGGTCAGAAGAGGGATTTGGATCCCTTGGGACTAGAGTTGTTACAGACAGTTGTGAACAGCCGTGTGGATGCTGGGAACCAAACCCAGGTGCTCTGAAAAAGCAGCCAGTACTCTTAGCTGCTGTGCCATCTCCCCAGCCCTAGGAAAATATATTTTAACACAGCCGTTAAGGATGCATTTGAAAAGCTCTACAGTAGGAAACTGGATCTGTGTGGAAGACACATTGTTGTGCTGTGAACCGCGATGGTTGTAAAGAACACTGGTGCAGCTGCAGATCATGGGGAGTTCTTCTCATCCTGCCTCCTTTCTTTAAATTAGAGAGAACAGACTGTCTGTAATGTGTTTACTTCTCACTGGTAAATAGTTTGTCGCTTAAAAGAGAAAAAAACCTAGCTATATTTCTTGTTGGTGATAAAACTAGAGTTTTTCAAGATAAAATTGAAAACATGGGAAACTTAAATCACATTTGTTACATCGATAGCTTCCCAATATTGAATACGCTTCTTTAAAAACAAGATTCGTGGTGATATAATAAATTCAGTAATTTGAAATCGCTTAGTGAGCTATGTCAGCACTTGGTGATAAACATAATTCAGTGCTAATGTTTTTTAAAATATTTATTTATTATGTATACAATATTCTGTCTGCGTGTACGCCTGCAGGCCAGAAGAGGGCACCAGACCTCATTACAGATGGTTGTGAGCCACCATGTGGTTGCTGGGAATTGAACTCAGGAACTTTGGAAGAGGAGTCAGTGCTCTTAGCCACTAAGCCGTCTCTCCAGCCCAGTGCTAATGTTTTTTTTTTTTTTAAGTGACTCCTGCAGAAATATAAACAGCCTGTGTACATGAAAGATTTAATGTAGAAGAGATGAACAGATTCTAATGTAATGGTTGGAAATGACCGAGGGGATTGTTTCTTATTTCGCACGGCAGCTAACTGTTGAAGAAATAGAACTTTGCTGTAGTAGCACTGCTTCCCCAGTTAGTTACCTGAAGAGGTTGTACGATACTACCTTTTCAGCTTGTCTTTTCTACCTCTGCCCAATCAAAGGATTCTAAGTCAACACGTCCTAAAAGACTGTGCGTAGGAAGTAAGGTGATTCTGCCATCTTCTTCTGAGCCACACACTGCACCTATATGTTTTCTATATACCACTGCTTTTCATTTAAAGCAATGCTTAGATTACTTACAAAATAAAACTTTAAAAGGCTTAGTTTTACTTTTGCAATTTAGATAGAAATATTGTAATCAAGAGATCTTTGGCAAATCCCAATAAAATTTAAAAATTTGAGATTCCGTGGCCAAGGACAGAGAACCCATTGTAACTCAGACTGTTTGGCTTTTTAAAACAATAATCTATGAAGCACTTTTCAAATGGTCGTATAAAATAGACTTTGTGTCATATTTAATATTACTTGAAATCATTGGAACTTCTATAAACCTTCGTTTTTATTTTCTGTGTTTACAAGGGTACAAGCTGGTGAGGTGGTTCCGCAGGAAACGGTGCTTACCACCAAACCTGATAACTTGAGTTCGGTCCCCAGGAGATCTGTAGAGTAGAAGGAGAAAGCTTACCTTTCAAGTCCACAAAGGTGCCTGGCATGAGCGTATTTGTATACAGACACACAGAGTTACATAAATATAAAAGAGAATAGAAGCAAAATATGAAACTAAATATAATTTGTAAAACTATGCTTTCATGACTAACTTTTCTCAAGTATATCTGGTTTCTTCAATAAGATATTAGATTATTGGAAAAGAGTCATTATGATCTGGGATATTGGTGATATCTTAATTATACATAGAGTTACTAGTTCATATTTGAGTTAAATGAACACTTATTTTTAAATTTGCAATAACTTATTGCATGCATTCAGGGCCATTTGGAGTGTACGTGGAGGCTAATTCTGTCTTGTGCAATGGTTCTCAATGTGTGGATTAAAGCTCCCTTTGGGAGGTGTTGAGCAACCCTTTCATAGGGGTCACATATCAGATATTTACATTATGATTCATAACAGTAGCAAATTTGAGGAACTGTGTTAAAGGGTTGCAGCATTAGGAGGATGGGAACTGGCCCAAGTGGGAACTTTTGTATCCCAGGAGCTACTGGGTTTTCTTTCACCATGTGATGGTTAGAATATTGAAGATTCTGTTTTTTCTTTTTCTTCTGTAAACAGATAATCTCAGTGACACCTTAAAGAAACTGAAGATCACAGCTGCTGACAGGACAGAGGACTGCTTAGAAGGATGCTTGGATTGTCTGCTTCAAGCCTTGGCTCAAAATAGTAAGTTCTATTGTTTATTCAAATTCCAGACTAGGAAAGGATCAGATCAGCATTGTTTAGAAATCGGTATACAGTTAGGCATGTAACTTGCACTCACAGACTTTGAATTCTTTTGAATCTTATGTGTGAATGCTGAGATTGTTTCCAGTGTTCTGTCCGCCTACCCACCCTCCACCAAAAGCCATTCAAAACCCAACTGATCGTCAAAGAAAAGAGGAGATTGATGGGTGGGATGACATTTATATCAGCTCCAGAGAGGAGCCATTATGGCTTTCCCCCCCTCAACACCTACATCTGTGCTTTATAACCAAACAGAAAATAAAAGACTAAACAGTTTGTGTAAGGAGGAGACAGGAGAAACAAAGGAGATTTAAAATACTTAACATTGTTTTTCTGAGTGCTTCTCAACTTTTAAAGAAATCTTATTTTAAGACCATATATTTGTCCATAGATTAAATTGGAAAGAACTAACAGTAGTCACACAAATTTCTTAAAACCTATGGCCAAGTTTGATATTCCATGTCTGGTAAATAAAACACCAGAGAGAGAAATCACAAAGTTCTTCATTGACGGTCCCAATGCATTATTGCACTTGATAGAATGTGTGTCTGTTCACCAATTTTTGCATTATCATAGTGAGTGGATGTGTATGTAGATATACATATGTATATACATATTATATCTATATATCTATATACATCTATCTCATCAATCGATCTATAAAATGATCTTCAGTTGTTCCCATACTCCTACTTGGTTGTACTGTATTTATATTTCATTATACATTATATATTAATCCTCATGGACTAATTATGTAGCCCTGTCCGAGAACTCAGGGGAGAGTATATTGTATGGTTTTAATTTCAGGCACACAGAGGTGGGCAGGTCTCTTTAGATTTTATGAAACTGCCTAGAAAATACAGAATAATGGATTCTAATTCTCTTCATTGAAAAGAGCACTTTTGAAGCTAATCTGTATTTGCTGTTCTTGTCACGGTGACCAGAACAACTTGGAGGAAGAAAGATTTCTTATATTAATTTCAATCCATTATGGTAGGTCATGGAGGGACAGAGTTGGTCAGCTACCAGCAACCAGGAAGGAGAGAGGAAGGCAATGGGGCTTTTTATTCCCACATAAAATCATTCAGTGTTTTATATTTATTTGAAAGTTTTTTTTTTTCATTTTACATACCAACCACGGTTTCCCTTCCATCCTCTCTTCCTGCCCCCTCCCCACTTTCACCCCACCCAACCCCCCAATCCACTCTTTAGACAGGATAAGGTCTCCCTTGGGGAGTCAACAAGTCTGGCATATCAAGTTGAGAAAGGACCAAGCCCCTCCTGTTCCATGGTTGACCAAGGTATCCCTTCATAGGGAATGGGCTCCAAAAAGCCAGTTCATGCACTAGGAATAAATTCTAGTCTCATTGCCAGTGGCCCCACAGACTTCCCCAGCCACAGAACTGTCACCCACATTCAGAGGGCTTAGTTTGGTCCCAACCTAGTTGGTTCCCCAGCTGTCAGTCCAGAGTCCCTGAGCTCCCACTAACTTGGATCAGCTGTCTCTGTGGTTTTCCCCATCACGATCTTAACACCCCTTGCTCATATGATCCCTCCTCCCTCTATTCAGTTGAACTCCAGGAGCTTGACCCAGTACTTAGCTGTGGATCTCTGCATCTGTTTCCATCAGTTACTGGATGAAGGCTCTATGGTGACAATTAGGGTGGTCATCAATCTGATTATAGGGGAAGGCCAGTTCAGGCACCCTCTCCACTATTGCTAGGATCCTTAGCTGGGATCATCCTTGTGGAATCCTGGGAATTTCCCTAGCACCAGGTTTCTCCCTTACCCCATAATGGCTTTCTCTATCAAGATCTCCTTCATTGCTGTCTCTGTCCCTTCCCCAACTCAACCATCCCATTCCCTCACGTTCTCTTCACACCTGCCCCCAATTTAATCAGGAGATCTTATCTGCTTTCTCTTCCCAGAGGCATCCAGCATATCTCTCTTCAGGTCCTCCTTGTTATCTAGCTTCTCAGGGGTTGTAGATCATAGCCTAGGTGTAGTAGGAGGCCCATTGTTTGTTCCTGGCTACCCAGACTGCAAAATAATCACTCAGAAACTATATTATTTGCAATACTGTTCGGCCAATAGCTTAATTGTGTTTCTGGCTAACTCTTATATCCTAAACTAACCCATCTCCATTAATCTGTGTATCACCACGTGGCTGTGGCTTACTGGGTAAAGTTTCGTCCAGCGTCTGTTTCTGGAAGGTCTACATAGCTCCTCCCTGACTCTGCCTACTCTCTCTCTATATTTCTTCTAAGCTGACTATATTCTGTTAAGCCATTGACCGAAAGCAGCTTTTCTGTAAACCAATGGCAATAAACCATATTCACAGTATACATCACCTCACACATCACCTCCCCTTTTCTCTCTAAATTAAAAGGAAGGTTTTAACTTTAACAAAGTAAAATTGCATATAAAAAAAAACCAGGTATCAAGCAAGAATTATAGTTACAATATTTATATTTATTTATCTTTTATCATAACTAAGGAAAACTATAATTATAACTATCTATTCTTCAACTCTATCATGATCCCAGAAGGATATAATTTTACATAAATTAACAGGAAGTACATTGTAAGCAACTTCCAAAACCCTAGAATTGGCAGAGACATCGGATTACCCTTTACTTTACATCTAATATCCAGTTATGAGTAAGTACATGCTATGTTTGTCTTTCTGGGTCTAGGTTAGCTCACTTAGGATGGCTTTTTTTTCTCATTCCATCCATTTGCCGGTAAATTTGAAGATGTTATTGTTTTTTTTTTTTTACTGCTGAGTAATACTCCATTGTGTAAATATACCACTTTTTCTGTATCCGTTCTTCAGTTGAGGGACATCTAGGTTGTTTCCAGGTTCTGGCTATTATGAAGAATGCTTCTGTGAAATACAGTTGTGCACATGAGCTTGTGGTATGGTTGAGCATTTTTTGGTGGGATGTCCAAGTGTGGTATTGCTGAGTATTAAGGTAGATTGATTCCCAATTTTCTGAGAAACCACCATAACTGATTTCAGTCTACCTCAGGACACAGCATTGGGGACCTTTAAAGAAGAACCGTACTCAACCTCCTTTAGCTAGTACTGACTCCAGCTCCCCAAATAGCATCACTAGTTGGTGGCCAGGCTTCAACACATGAGGCTATCATGGTATTTCAGATCCATACCATAATGTCATCTTTAAAGTTGAGTTTCAATAACCTTTCCTTTTGAGATTGTAACTCTGTCTAGCTATGTAATGCAGAGATGACTGATGAGTTGAGACGAAAAGTTTAATGAGAACATTTGTACAATGCTCAAGATGGTAAAGAAATAAAGGGAAAAAAGTCTAATCCTATGCTACTCATCACAGTAGAAGCTTGGCTGTTCATGCTTAGTAAAATTAAATAAAACCTCAAATGAACTTCTTTGTTGTTCGGTAGCCTGCCGGGTGATGACTTATGAAGATCACAGATACAAAACATCCCTATAACCATAGGAAAGTTTTTTGAAGGGCAGTGGTCTAGAAACTAGCAAGAACATGGTGACCTGATTTTACAAGTGCCTATGCTGGCAGTTTTACACAATGACACGCTTCTCTTAAGTAGACTGAGGGTCAGCATAATTCTTTAAAAGAGTTGTGCTGTTTAATCTTCCTTTATTTTTCCATTGTTAGTTCATTTCGTCCCCTCTGGGATAATTTTTTTAAAGGAAACAATTAGCTTTAGAAACTGGACGATATAATGATGGTTTCCTTGGGTAATGTGGGTAAAGGCCAGAGTTGAGGAAGGGACATGACAGAGGGAAGCACAGAATAATGACAGGTTCAAGAAATATTACCTGGTATGATTGTTGGGTTAAATTCAAAACCTACATGTAGGCTTGTTGAATTTATGTATTGAAAATGGTCTTAGAATTATGTAGAACAGAATCTTAAGGTCATATACCCATAAGGTGTTTAACAAAACCAACAGAATATGAATTAAAGACTTCCCAGGAAGATAATAAAAAAGTTTTTCTTTAACTAAGATAAAGTTTATAAATATTCTCATTTCTAAGACTGCTAAAAAGAATTTGACACAGGAAGAAGTTTTTGTAGTTTAGTAGTTGATTTAAAAATTCATTGGAAAACTTTAGCCACTGAAGAAAATATAATTTTGAAGTATCTACACTGTAACTTTGGCTATTTCAGTATTTGAACTGTATATTATAAATTAAAATTAGAATTTTGAAATATTTTAGATTAAGTTTTTAATTTTTTTAGATTAAAATATAATTACATCATTTACCCTTCCCCTTTCCTTCCTCCAACCCCTACCATTCTCCTCTTACTCTCCGAAGTTCATTCTTGGATATATAGATAAAACCTTACACTCCTGGAACTAACTCTTGTTGTAGATCAGGGTGGCCTTGAACTCACAGAGATCTGCCTGCCTCTGCCTCCCTAGTGCTAGGATTAAAGGCGTGCGCCACCAAGCCAGACAACCTTTTACTAATTCCTTGAGAATTCGCCCATGCATACAGTGTATTGTCATCATTTCACTCCTGCTCCTCCTATAACTACTTGAGGGTCTAGCCTTCCTCAATTTCTTATTTTTTTATAGTTAATGATTGGATCCAACTTGTAGTATCTATATGATATGGGAGTGGGGCTGTCCACTGGAGTATGATCTACCCACCAGGAAATATACTCATAAAGAAAATGGACTTTCCTTCCCCTCATAACCATGAATTGCCAGTGGTTTCTCAGCTGGGAGTTGGAGCTTGTGAGCCCTTCCTGCTCCATGCTGGAATGGTGCCTGCCTTGGTCTGTACAGGTAACCAGAGCACTGTGAGTTATGGCTGCATCAGTCCTGCCTTGTCTGGAAGATGCTTTCACTGTAGCCCTCCTGAACTTATGACCTGCCGGTGTTCCCTAAGGCGTGGGGAAGGGTTGGTGGCACACAGGTTGCATTTGTCACTTGATGTCTTGATATCTGTGCTTTTGGCCACTGTAAGTTTGACACTGTTCACTGCACAGAGGAGCTGCTTTGAGGACCCAACGCTTCCTTCATCTGTGGCAGTTTGATCCTGTGTCAATTTAGCAAAGTGGAGTAGGTTCCCCCCTGCAGCCTGTGAGCTCCCAGTCTTGGGTTCTGGGTTAGCTTACAGTACCAGACATATGTTTTCTCCTAGGTAGCAGGCCTTAAATCTAAGCAGAATGTGGTTGCTTACTCTGGTAACCTTTGTGCCATTATCCCCACTTTGTACATGTATAGCATGAATAATAAAAACCTGGAGACGGATACTGGGGTTTGAGCTAAAGATCAGAAAAGCAAAGCAGCCAACTACTAGAGAGATCTTACCTCTACGGAGACTCAGACAAAGGGGCACTCCTGCAAGGCTCTCCAGCAACCTCAGCCTCCACCGTCCACGAGTTCCCTTTATATTCCTCCCTCCGCCCAGCCATCACTCCTGTCTCCACCTGCCTAGTGCTGGGATTAAAGACACCAGATCCCAAGTGCTGGGTCACCTTTGTGTGAGCTCTGGTTCTCTTTTAGACAGATTCAATCTTGTGTAGCCCAGGGTGGCCTTAAACTAACAGAGATCCCTCGGCCTCTGTCTTTTGAGTCCTGGGATTAAAGTTGTGTGCCATCACTCCCTGGCATGTATGGGTGACTGGTGTGGCTTCTTTGCCTTTTGATCTTTAGGCAAGCTTTATTTATTACAGCACCAGTAATATACCACTATAGGCATGTCTTGTCAGGCCAGGCCAGTCTTTATTGTAGCTCACGGGGTTAAGAGCTGGTCAGACTACTGACTGGGAAGCTGCCTCCATACTGGCTATTTCATGGTACTGAAATCAGATTTTTTTTTAAACCTTGATGTATGGCTTTAATGTGGTTTCCTTCTTTCTTTGTTCCCTCCCTTCCTGAGTTTAATGTCTGTCAGTTTTTAAAGATAAAGATCTGTATAACTCAGTATATTCTACAGAATACATTTTACTTAAGCAAGTTCTCAGTGTAAATCTCTGCTCTAAATTAATAGCATTCACTCATAGAAACACTTCAATCTCACTTTTTAAATATTTTTAGTAAATATATGAAAGCTACCAGCCAAGAAATCAGCCTGTTTGTTCTGGTTTCATTTGATTCTGCTTATAGCGTCATGACTTTTAGTCAATGCTTGTTGAGTTCCAGTGGTGTTATTTCATTGTCATCTGTGAGTTTAAAGCAGTGAGCTACCTGCGGCCACCTAAACAGTTTGGAGTTTCGGTCACCCTGCAAGAGGGGCTACCAGTTTAAAGGCCCAAAGACAAGAAACATTAGTATTTTATTTCTATTTTCCAAAAACTCTTGTTAATTTTGTTCCATTTTAAACCATGAGAACTGTACTTCCTAGCTAGGGTTGAGTGGAGGGGGTCATCTGTGAAACAATCCAGCGTGGTCATCAACTTAAACTCTTATTGCTCAAGAGTTAATTCAACTTCCTCCGCTTCAGAGAGAGTGTGTGTGTGTGTACACACATGTACATGCTTTAACTTCCCAGCCACTTCCCTGATGATAAACAACTCATAATGAAAATCACAGAGTTGTGTGTTTAGTATATAACTTGGCTAGAAAACCCAGATTTGTCTTGGTGAGTAAACGGTGTTTAGTTCTGTGTTGCTAATCTTACTGACTTAGTAAGTTCTTAGTTTGTTTCTTAACCCTTTTCTTTAGCTCATTTTACATTCCTGGCTTCCAGCCAGGCTGTATTTCTAAGCACACTATTAATCTAACAGAAGTCTTCTGTGCCTCCGTTTGGTTTTAGTCTATGGTATGTATGCCTTTAGTAGTAGGCAAAACTACCTTCTGTGTAAGGGGCCGAAATACCAGATGTTCATCAAAGCCTCCACTAAATTTACTCTTAATGTAGATTTGTTGCTAACTGAAGAAATGGGAGAAAAGGGTATTGTTTTTACTTTTTCACAGCTTTATCTAGAGTAGATTTTACTCTTTTATCCCATTATCAAGTGCAGAAAAAGAAGCTATTTCTTGTGCAAGCTAAAGTCAGTTGTTTACTTTCATTTATATTGCATTTCTCGGATGTTTACAGTGGATACTAATGACACACTAAACAGCGCGTTGAAGGATATGTGAAAGAAGGCTAGAGAGACGAGTCCACAAACAAGAGCAGTGCTCTTGAGGACCCAGATTCAGTTTCCAGCACTCACATGAGCTCCACAGCCACTCAGAGTGAGCTCCAGGGGAGCCAGGCATGCATGTGGTGCACATACATAAACTCAGGCAAAACAGAGAAGAAGAGAGAAGGGAAGATGATACATGAACATCTCAACTAAACTAAAATGGTCAGGTAAGAAGACATTGGGAGTCCCTGATGAATTAAGACTTTTAGACTTCAGCAGAATAATCATTAAAACTGCATGTAGCTCAGTTAGAAAATAGGGCAAACCAACTAGTCATATCCGTGCCTTCATCACAAGTAGGAGAGAGTTCAGGTTATCGGGGGGGGGGGGGAAGAAGTAAACCTCTAAATATCTTACTCAGTTAGACACTACTCTGGAGAGATTTCTGCAAGGACTGCACAAACTGCAACACAAAAGGAGAAAAGAAGAGGGAACTAGGGACCAAGGGTGAGCTCACACTATTACATTCTTTCTGTAGAAAGGAAAACTAACTTGGTAGGATAATTTTTATACTTTTGAAGGCGTAAGTCACGAACAATGCCACACCAGTTTGGAGTTATGATTAATAGGGTGTTATTTATTTAAAGGGGAAAAAACTTACAGATCACCGTCCCAGACAACAGCCATCTGCACAACCAGGAAGGGAGTCTAGTCTCCGGCGGAGCAGGAAGTGAAGAGAGCGAGCAGAGGAAATAGCCGCTTTTTTAAAGGGAGAGAGACCACGCCCCAATGGGCTGGTATCACAGCAGCTATTGGTTGGAGGGGCGGAAAGACCTCCTGCAACATACTTTGACTTAGGCTGGGTTGGAATATTGGCTGTTTGCTTGGGTTCCAGTTAAAGGCTGGAGGCTGGGGAGCTTGAGATGGAAGAATTGCTCACACCTGGAGCCCAGGAGCTCAAGACTAGCCCATAAAACATGGCAAGTTCCCATGACACCCCTCCCTCACAAAAAGAACAAAAGTGCATAGGCTCCCATGTGCCAATCAAGGGGACTATTTTGGGGAATGAAGGAGTTACTCTTCTTGGATTCCTGGGGAAAACAAGAAAAGAAGTGTCTATAGAAATAAGAATAGCACAAAATTAGAAGACGTGCTGTATTAATTAATTTTATGTTACCATGACCATAATACCTAACCAGAAACAAGAGGAAAGATTGGTATTTTTGGCTCAGGTTTCAGAAGGTTCATTTCATCGTGACAAGGAGGAGAGCAGTGAAGTAAAGCAACTTATATCATGAGATGAGAAACGGAGACACAGAGTATGGGGTACTTGGTTAGCTTTTTTATTTTCCCCCATTGTCGTTCTGTCTGACGCCTGTTTAGCCCGGGGAGTGATGTTGCCCACATTCAGAATGTGCCTTCTCACACTGACTTATTGTGACTTGAAACGCCCTTTCAGACATCAAGCGGTGTCCCCGCACCCTCAGCCTCTTTGATCACTGCAAATCCAGTCAAGTTGTTAACAAAGATTAACTATCACATACACTAACTACTGCTTTTGGTTTTGGGTAGACATGAGAGCTTTTGAAATAAAGTCTAGGTATTCATCTCAAGTCTTTACCTTTACATCATATAAGTTGTATTAAACTAATCATTGAATAGAGATTTCAGGTGAAGTATATAAGGAAGGAAGCAGAAAAAAAAATCAAATGTTTTAGCTACTGAAAACATTCTTTTTCCCAGTGAAGTCATTTCATGAAGCTGTTATCAAAAACAACCTACTTAACCTATACTACTAATATCCTTAAGCTTTTGGAAGGTGAAAACGAAAAGCAGAGTCAGAAACTTCAGGACATAAGCGTGTAAGCAAGAGGAAGGTGTGAAGTTTAGACTGAAGACTGGTAGTTTGGATTAACTAGCAGAATGAAAAGACATGACAAACACTTTAGAAATTAACAAATTAAAAGGGGCTGAAAGTATGGGAAAGAAAAGGTTAAAATAGAGTAACGGAGGAAAAGAATGACTTGAGAGAATATTAACATCAAAACTAGATCATATTGTGCCTGTAAAGCTAGGTAATTAGCGTGCTAAAGACAAAACAGCGAAAGGAAACACTAGACATCCTTCAGTGAAGGAAGAAGTAACTCTGTTTTAAAGGGACTCAGCAGGTGCTTGTGAAAACTGACCTCATAGTGACCCATAGTGGAAAATCTTAATATTTTTAGATTTTTTTTAATATTGATTATTCCAGCACTGAGTTATTGTTGATAAAGACTATAAGAAGCTTTAATATTCTTTGATTATTTATTTGATTCAAGTTAACTGACATCATTAATCATGTACAAAAGTCTTCAGTATTAGGAAATCCAGTTAGTGTTGGCTTTAGTGCACAAATATGGAAGTTCTAGAAGTAAAGAAATAATAGCTTTTAGAATGTGTACAATTCATGTTAACGTTATGAAGTTCTGCAACATTCTTCGTGGCACAGGAGTCATCTGTGTGGTATGTGCTGCTTGCCCATTTGTCTCTTAGCAGCTGTCTCAGTTTTCAGTGCTGTGCATCAGACCAGCCTGTCTGTCTGTAAGGGTGATGCTGCTAGTATCTCGTTACTTGTGCTCAGTGACCCTTACATTACTTAATAATACGCGACTCAAAAGTGGTAATGTTTGCTGTCTGATTATGCTGACAAAAAAAAAATCACAAAGTACCTCATTTAGGTGAAAAGAGAAGGGTTCTCACTAAACAAAGAAATCATTGTATTCTGTTGTTACAAAGGTTTATGGTAAGAACAAACCTTTTTCATCTGTCAAATTGTAGAGAAGGAAAAAAATCATGCACATTCTGCTGTTGTGCCTCAAACTAGTCTAGAGAACAGTATGTGATAAAAAATAGAAATGACATTAAATTTGTCATTTAATGAACAGAGAGTGTGTTCTAATGGATGGAGTGTGTTATGCCAGAAATATGAAGCCTCACTTAATCTTGCCATGTAGGCAGTGTATCTATCACCTCATCATCACGAGAAAAGAAGTGAGTATAGAACAGCAAGATACTGTGAAAGAACAAGAGCACATTTGCATATCTTTTGGTTTAGTTGTTGTTTTATTGTTATTGCTAATCTCCTATTTATAAGCTAAACTTCATCTTAGATATGTGTGTTTAAGGGAAATAGCATATATTATATATTAATTATATACACTTTATATAAATGTATATGTTGTATCAGATTATCTGTTGTGGTATTGCACAGCCTGGGTTAGGCTGGCCTTTATATTAATAATGATCTCAGTGTGCAAAAGTCATGGTGCTAGCTAGCCATTTGGATACACTAAGGAGAAGTCACAAACTCTCTGTGTGTGTAGGTGTGTGTAGGTGTGTGTATAGTTTGATACTGTCTGCAATTTCAGACAGCTAAGAGGTCTTAGGACTTACACTTTGCATATAAGGTGGAATTACTGTAAACACTAACTCATTGTGTCAGTTTGTTCTTCCCTAAGAGACTATGATAGATGGGGCAATTTATAAATAACAGATATTTGTTTTCTTGCTCAGAAAGATTAGAGGAACCCAGTTATCCATAAAGGCATTTGCCTAGGAGTTAGCCGCTGTTAAGTAGACAGGGAACATGAGCTTATTGGTGTGTCTCCACTGGTTTATCTCCGTGCTGACTAGTTATGTCAACTTGACACATACTCGACTGGGAAAATGCCCCCACTAGATTAGCCTATGGACAAGCACGTGGTACATTTTCTTGATTGTTGATCACCGGAAGAGAGGGCCCAACTCACTGTGGGCATTGCACACAGTGCTGGGCTAGTGGTCCTGGGTGCTATAAGTATGCTGAGCAAGCCATGGAACAGCACTTCTCCTGGCCTCTGTTATTCAGTTCCTGCCTCCAGGTTCTTGTCCTGAGTTTCTGCCTGACTGCCCTGGATGGTGTACTAATACAGAACAGTTTTCCTCCCCAAGTGGCCTTTGTTCATGAAGTTTTAATCAGTAGAGGAGTAGAAACCATCACTAAGATGATCTCTCTCAAAGTAACAGGAGGTTTTTTTTTTTTTCTACTCTGAACTTATATTTTCTTTGGAATTTCTAGCCAGGAGACTACAAAGTGATATTCTTGCTTCTTTCCCTTAAAACTTAAGTTGGCTTGAACTTCTAGCTCAGTAATAAACAGAGAGATAGCTAGTTCTGTATTTTAGTTTCTAATATTAATGGCAGGCTTTACTGGATTAAATGTAACACCTTGATTTTATACAAAACTCCCTTTTCTTTACAAAAAAGAGAGTGGTAAAAAAAGAAACTGTTTTAAACAATGAGCCCTTAGTCAATCAGTTAATGTTAAAGAGTACACTTTGCTATGTCTACCTTTTACTATTTAATTATTTATTATTTTTTATTTCTTAGGGGGCAGGGTTTCTCTATACCTTTGGAGCCATCCTATCATGGAACTAGCTCTTGTAGACCAGGCTGGCCTCGAACTCATTTTAATTTAATAAAATTATTTTTGGATAGCACTAACAATAGGGGTACTTTTTCATTTCTTTTTTCTATTTTTTTATTGATTTTATTGAACTATACATTTTTCTCTGCTCAATTCCCCTGCAGCCCTCTCCCATGGTCCCTGTGCTCCCAATTTACTCAGGAGATCTTGTCTTTTTCTACTTCCCATGTACATTAGATCCACATATGCCTCTCATAGGGTCCTCATTGTTTTCTAAGTTCTCTGGGACTGTGATTCAATAAAACAGAAGGAAATGTCTCATAATAATCGTATGTTTCATGCAAAGTCAATAAAAGCAAAACTACTTTGTTTTCCTTTTTATTTATTTGATTTTAATTTTCTTGCATGACGAATGTCTGAATATTCTCACTAAGTATAAGATTGTTGAAGTGGGAAAAATAATGGAAACACTGACGATGGAGTACAGTAAGGAATGGGCTTTTGGAGTTGGGAATGGCAGTATGTAGCTAATCCTAGCTGCCAGGAATCAGGCAGGGAAACTGAGCGGGAAGCCAGACTGGATTAGATAATACCCAGACCCTTTCTCCGGAGAAAAAGAAAGGAAGTTAGCACTTTACCTGGAGTATTCAAAGTAAATCAATGATCGAAAATTAAGAATAGGAAACATCCAAAATAAAGATTGCAGGAACACACGTTTATTGGGTGATTTTATCTCATAGATACTCAGATCAGATACATATTTTCTAACTGAATATAAGATATAATTTTTTTGCTGGCTGTAAAGATCTCAATGAAAACTGCTAAGTTCAAAAGCATTATTATGTCTTATTCTTTTCCCCTTCATTTTGAGATAGGATGTGTTCAGGGTTGGCCTCGAACTTGCCATGTAGACAAGAATAACTCTTTAGCATCTGATCAGACTGTCTCCCACATGCTAGATCCCAGACCTCACGGTCATGCTTGCCATATAAAGTTAAGGGACTGAACCAGGCCTGTGTGTGCGCTGAGTAAGCACATACCAACCCATCTACGACTGCAGTGTGGATGTGGTCATATTACTCTTCATAAATCAGAAAGATGGATAGTTCATATTTTCCCTCTTACTGAAAATAGATTTTTTTTCTTATATAATATATCCTCATTAAGGTTTCCCCCTATTTTACTTCTTCCAGCTCCTTCTGTCTCCCCTGCCACCTGGATCCACCCTTCCTCTCATTAGAAAACAGACTTCTATGGGGTAATAAAATATAATTATAAAATACAATTAGAAAACAGACTTCTATGGGGTAATAAAGTATCATGAAATAAAACTAACACTTCAGAATTAGACGAAAACAAACACGAGGAAAAGAGCCTGAGAAGGC